TGTAATCATAATTGATAAGCAACTCACAGTATAACAAGTTGTCCAGTGTTGTCAATCGATAGAGGTTGTGTGTTAGTGGTATATGGCACAATCTTCGTTGGACGCTGTTACAGGTAGAGCTCAAATTTGGCCAGTTGTACGGTGTTCCTCGAGTAGATTATCTCGGATAGAACATTGAGGTAAAAACAAATGGTAAGTTCAATGTGATGGTGACTTTCATTATAAGCGTGAAATACTATATATTAGGCAACTGAGTTGCTACATGATCTAACTTAATCCATGACATCACGATTCACTACTGGTGCGTCGAAAAATTAAAATATCTGAAAGATTTACGGGGTATATAAAGCGTTCGTGTCTGGTTGTGATATAAGTTTCAGTCAACTCGAGAAGAGGTGCTATCTGACGTAGTTGTTATCATACGTTCTATCTCACACTTTTGGGATCTATAACCAGACAGAAGGTATAGAGTGACACAATTATTCTCGTTTAGTACATAAATGATATAATTTACTGCATATAGTTTGCTTTAGGACGTATACCGATAACAATAATGATAACACTGGTATTTGATAAATAAATCACATACATATGCAAATTTTAACATAATATTCGATTGATGCAGCGAAATGTCTAGTACTATCGTCTTTTCAGTGCCAGGTGCTATCTTGTTCGTATAAAGATGGGATGAATTCGAAACAATCTTCGAGTGATGTAAAAATTACTGATAAGCTTCCCAATCCCGCTTTAAGTTCCTCTCTGGGTGAGCAATGAATACAGTTTATCTATACGAATTTAGCACTACACGCGGCATGCTCCATCGCTTTGAATACTCCGCAGCTTTCAATACATTTATTTCAATATTTCATTGGTTTATTATTAGCTAAGAATTAACTAATGCTTTTTATATTGGTTTCTTTTTATCAGAGTAATGCTTTTCGCATTTTTAAGGTCCTAAACTATAAATGATTGCGCAAAATATATTGAAGTAGATCATTTATTTCAATTTTTACGTTTTAATATACTTTATAATTACCCTTCTATCTTGGACTTGTCCGCTTTTTCATCGAGAATGTATATATCATCCTCGAGGTATCGTCTGACCAGGGCCAGAACGTTTGTAATGGTGGAAATTTCGGCATTCGGGAATTGTTCGTATTTACCTACACACAATCGAGCGTTTACTGTGCATTACATTTCGTATACAGGAAAGTCTATTTTTTGTTTCCTTTTTGTATCACTGCATTACATTTCACAGACGTTCACGGAGGGCTCGTCTAAATACAACCAAGAATAAATGACGATATCGTCCGGTTTTGCTCTTTAAGTTATGGTTGATTTTGTAATTCGTACTTACCAGATTATTTGTATTTTTCAAGGACGCTATGCAAAGCCGCATGTAATCATTTACTCGCTTGATCATTTACGAGGTGATATATGACATTCGCACTGAAACATTATTTACACTCCTTCCTATCCAGACTGATTTTTATCTTCATTGAAGACATCGCTCAAAGCGCTAGTTGAGACTTGATAGCGTTCCGGATAAACTCCAGAAATCTAAAAGATGGTTTACATACTTTATTTACTCAAGGTATTGTAGAACAAAAAACGCCGCCTAGTTGTCGAGCACACGCACGATAATTGACTATATAGCTACTAACATTGAGGTTGATGCATAGGTTATAAATGCGTGTGTGAGTCCATAAAAACTAATGAGAGGTTTTTTGTTTCGAAAAACATGGCTCGAATATAGTAGGGGACCCGTTTGCATTTATGCCTCTGATAACGCGTGCGATCTTTTGGTCAATACCATCTATGTATTTATAAATGAATCCACATGGGTGTATATATAACAAATTTAAAACGCCTCGGTCGAAGATGCTTACGAGCTCCACTTTAAAGTCCCTTTGCACGTTGCGATGTAAATTTTGTATGTATCTTTTAAAGCAGTAAAAACAATGGGGAGGACTATATAAGCGGAGCCACAGCGATGGCGTGAGACAGACTTGCATAAAATGTTTATGATTGCGGAATTGATAGAAATTCTACTCATCGAACGCCGTAGCGCGGATTAGTCAAATAAAGTTTATTTAAGAACATTTTTGGTTTCAATTGATAAACCTTTTTGGAGGACAGCGATAAAGCAGACGCTCTGCCGAAGACATGGCACATCAGGCAAATTTTTGGGGCATTTGTGTTGGAGTATAAGCGCCAACGAAGACGTCCGCGAAAGATATGGCGCATTAGGAACCCGTATGCAACATCCGAATGTTGGGTAAAGTTGTGGCAGAGGTATTGAGCTCTTCCAAAAGTAATACAAGATTACATTTATACACGATGCAGCTTCTTTATCAGCCCCCCTTTACTCTTGGTATATAATGCCTCTACAGAATGCGCGTGTATCAAGTATCATGTCCTTCACGGCTAATTGAAAAACGAAATCATATATTTAGCTACTTCTTTACCTGTATGTTATACATAATTACAGATATTTACACTAGGAGTTCTTCATAGCCGCCATATAGGTAGGCGAGGTGTGTGGAGAACTTCTTCATTACAGCGACAGCGCAGCACGCACTAGACGATTCATTGGGAATATAGGCGTTCAGCTTTCAACTGTGACGGACTCCGACGCAATACCTTATTCAAACTTGAACACCGCTGTAGACATGGCCGACTTCTTCTTCATTGCACTAACGACTAAATTATCATGTTCCTGTCCTTGTTGTTTTTAAAGTGTTCGAGAGTTTGTTAATGTTTATACGAAGTAGAGGGCTAATTTGACTAAGTATGTAAACTGCTCCTGAAATCTACAAAATAACCATGCTAAAAGTATTGTGATTTCGAGAACTTCGTTTGGTTGTTCGAAGGCGAAGTTATAGCAGCTGTAATAATTATACTCAGAAACAGTTATGATGGTTATATAATATATATATTTATTATAGATATACCACCTATGTCGAAATTTTTTACAATAAGCAAAATAGTGTGCCTCGTACTTTTTCTTTGTACAGCGCTTGACATATCAAGAAATGTGCGATAAGAAAAGATATCAGAATGCTATCGGAAAGAATCCCCACCCATCTCTCCGGTTTTAAAAATATGCAAAATGATCGATCGGGTATTGACTATACTTATAATGTCATTCTAGTATCGATCTATCATCGCATACTGTAGGCTTACATTTTCTTTGGTAGTCAGAGTTGTGATCAAATGGTCGTCTATTTGGCACGTGCGCAAAAACATTTTTAGTCGACCGATGCCGGGCCATCTACAGGTTTTTCCGTTGAAATACCCGGCATCAAGAATTACCGCAATGTCTATTGGTGGCTGCGCGTTTTGGACAGGAATTGAATGGGCCATGATTTAAAAACTGAAACTAGACGCTGAAAGGAGTATCGCTTCGTCAGCGAGGACAGAGGACAGCGTAGCGGCTTACTTACGTTCGGAACCTTATGCGCCAACGCAGTGCAAGAAGTACACCGAAAGATAGCGTAGCCTAATGAAGAAGAAAGCTTACGAAAATTTCAGACTTGAATTAGACCTCACTTGCAATGAAAATAATGAGCGATCGAAGCTACCCCGAATTCTGGTCGAATGTTTGCTGTGTATCTTTTTATTGTCATTAATTTATACCGATATTTTTGCCAGTGTACATGCGACGATCAGATTCAAATTACGCTCATGAGGGTGAAGTATGAAAAAAATACAGCCGTAGACGTCTCGCTCCGGAAGCTGAACTATCCAAAGTACACGCACGTCTATGATGTCGTATAGCTGTTGCAAATGTCGCGACAACGATAGGGGTGGAGAACCCGGCAACTAAACGGCCTTGCGTCCCACCTCTTTCTTTTGTATAGTTATTCACAACATCCCCCTATCGTTCACACTTTTCAGTGAACCTCTGTCATCGATAGCGATAACAATACGACAAAGCACGACATCATCGCCATATTCTCATTTTTCTAGTGACGAGGCGGTCGGCCGATGCTTTTAAAGGCGAGTAACACGCTACTTCAACATGTCATGATGTTCAGTCTATAGACATACCTAACGTCAAGATAAAGCGTCGACCTAACGTCCCAACCCGACACTAGCACTTCAACTGCTCCATCGGTCGATGTACCTACTCGCGCCAAGCGGCGATAGCTCTGACATGGGCCAATTGACGTGATCGACAGCGTGCGTTTCGAACGGCGTCTTGGTGATGTTTTCAGGACATGTATTGGATCGTGCAAGCGACACTGCTTTTCTTGCGTCTCATTAACGTGCATGAGGCGTCGCTGTCGCTTCAAGCCGTTGCCTACTAGGTGCTTGTCCTGTCAAAGCAGGGGCAGCAACGGCCTACCGCCTGGCGGGTCACCCAAGTACATTGCCGACAAATGAGACACTCGACAATATAACAAGTGGCTCGGCTAGCTGAAAGTTTTTAGCGTCATAGGATCTGCCACCGATGCCGTCGAACGCGTCGTCGCCTGCTGATCGACAGGTCGTCAACATGTTGTTCTAGCACATGACCTGAAATGGCGACGCTACTTTAACTGTGTACACATTTATGAATGGCATGGGTAGCTATCGACGCAACAAGCTGTCCGTCAACACATACTGTACCTCTATCAATAGGGCAACAAAAGGATGCAGTGTACACCGAATCTAAAAGAGAGAAACGCAAAGTGCACGATCTATTGTTATATCGACGGGCATGTATCAGGTTGCTGCTGACCAGTCAGAGACATTCGCCTACGTGCCTGTGGCCAAGCTCCGATGTGTTCACGACGAACAATTGAAGCAAGAGATGTGACCCAAGCTCAAGAAAGCTACTTGTTTCCGCCACTGTGAAAGCTGCATACGACAAGCAAAGTTTGTGTACGTCGAAAATTGAGCGTCAAAACGGGTACTTCAGGGCAGAACAATAGTGAGATAAAGCAGCGGTTAGTCGAGAAGTGAACAGCACCGAATGCAAAAATCGTTTTATTGTCGAGATGAAAAGCATGCAATTAATTCAACAAATGGTCATCAAATGACACAAGCTTAGCTACCGATGGAATGCCGGCGATGAAGCCCTCCGTAGCTGGCATAGACGCGTGCCTATGAACAAGCAGGCCATTTCACGAATTTTGGCCTAGCGCACTTATATTCCAGGTACCTGATGTAGCCTTTGTGGAGGAAAGTACTATACCGTCCATACCAAGGACGTAATTGCTCGTTCCTTTTTATCTTGTCCTCAGAGAACTTCCGATTGAACCCGTGCAGGTGAAACCACCCGAAGTACTTCGGTCGGTACCAGAACAGACGATGAAACGGTTTGTCCTCCGCACTGTCCAAGTCCTCTGCTTTGCCGGTCTTCTTGTCCGTGTCCTTGACCTCGTCATCTTCCCACGGCCAGGAAAAGAGACGTCGATGCTCGGCCCTCTCATCGGTAGCGACCAGATTGCGCTCGGCGACTGCAGGCGAGGTCACGTCGGACGTCATGAGCTGCTCACTATCCAGAGTTGCTGCACTAGCATTGCCGCAGGCTGAGAGGCAAAGCAATGCCGTTGACAGGATAGCGTACGGACGCATCGCAGAGAACGATCGGCTCGACAAGACACAGTGAGGTCGAGGCGGCGAATTGGCAAATGTCGAGGTCCGAACTACAGTTCAAGCCGACGTGCCTTCTGTTTTCCACGACTCGATGACAACAATCCCTTCCCGCGATCAGGGTCGATTGTCGTCATGTCGAAGCCGAACGTTGCGAGCGTGTGGAGTGCGCGTGACGGTGAGCTGTTGCGTGCAGCCTGTGCAATGAATGCAAAGTGGCGACTGCAAGTAGTGCTGTGATCGACCTGTGGGCGAGCAGCTTTGCCGCAAGCAATTAAGAGCTATGATGCGCCGGTGGCGAGGGTGTTGTTGCACTTGGTGAGCTGCCTCGAGCAACACGTCAGGTGGTCAATCGGTACTGTTTGTGTCGAGACTGAGGCTGTGGGACATTTGGAGATGCACGTGTTCCGGAGCTTGGCGTCGATGGGTCGGACACACTGTAGCTTTCAATATCGCTATCCTTACGCATAGCTACGGCCACTCATTCGTTAATAAGACCGGTGTCGATTTGCCCTTCGTGCTTTGTTCTTCAACAACGTGTCCCAACCCACGTGCGCAGACAGACCTTATCGATCATAGTGACGACAAGTGGTCGACTGGGCTGTGTTTGCGTCCGCACTGCAGCGACCAGATGCTTTGAAGTTCATGCCTTTACAGAGAGGCAGAGAGAAGAGAGGCAGAATAGTCGATTGGACGCTTATCAAGTTGTACGGTGTCTGCTTAGGAACGCCACTTCCTCGTGCGCGTCCGGAGTTGTTTCCGGACGGCTTGTCGCCGTAGATGACAGCTCTTACGGCTGTATGGCTTGTCCGCTTTGTATCAACAGCAAAAGGGCTTCTTGTACGTTCGTGTCGGTCTGCCGGCGGCCTCGTTTTGCTATTGCCGACCAGTGCCGCCGGGCGATAGCAAAACAAGACTACCGGTATACGGACACGAAGAGAAAGGGACCACTTCTGCCGCACACCTGTCTTCCCGAACCCCTCGACGAAGCCTTCGGCGGTGACGGACGTACACAAGATCGTCACTCGATTGCGCTGTGTCTACTAGTTACCCACGCAGACGCTGCTCGACCGAAACCACAGTCGGTTCCACACGTGCGCATCTTCGTTTACCTCGTCCGAGCGATCGCCTGGACGCCCCTAACAGCTCCGGTACCTGCTTGCGTGGGCTGTGAACGGGAAGCCGTGCAGGCGTTTCGACTCGCTGCGTGCGCCCGCCCTATAGCACATTCGCCACAACCATCTGGCCCGAGCGCACGGCCCAGCCCAGAAACGGCAGACCCCTCGTCTCCTTTGCTCCAATTAGCCTACGATAGCTGACACCACGTGTCTGTTTCCCGCCCAGGGAAACTATGTCTCAGTGCGTCGCCGTCACGCGTGGACGGTCGACACCGAGTACGTTGTCAACGCTCGTTCAGCGTAGGCCGGTATAAGTGCTAACGTCTGTTGTAACGCTGCGCTTGCCAGGCGTTTGCTCGCGCTGCGAGCCGGAGCGTTCCGAACTACTGCGCAGCGCACTTGCCAATCTTTTCACGCAGTGACAGCATCAACTCGTTCCAGCCAAAAGGACGTGGGACTCGGTATGGATTCTGCCGCGGCTCCAGAAAATCTATGATCGATTGTCTGCGTACAGAGTTCGAAGCCTCGTGGGTCGTGCGTTGTGGCTCAAGCACCAGGCAGTCGGAGCAGTCCGCTGATCCTTCAAGTTGGTTCCGGCAATCTTCGAGTGAGATTTAGTGCTGTCTTGTCGGAGACGGATGACAGTCTGGTGGCCGATATGACTGTTCCGCCGCCGCTATAGTCGTCGGTTTTCGATGTTGAACATTAGCAACTTGAGGTGGATGGCGCTGTAGTAGAATCCATCGGACCTGGAGCCTGCCTCGAAATGTCCTATCCGGTGAGCGCCATCAAGCAGCTGGTTGCTCAAGCAGCTAGTCCCCAGCGACGCAGCATTGCTTGTTGATGAGTGACTGTGCTGACATCTGATAGCATGTAGGAGCACAACAAGACATCTATATGATGCAATGGGAGCTCGTCATAATGGCGAGCCTTGTCTTGGCAAACTTTTTGGATGTTAAGTGCAACTTTAATGCTGTAGCAACTGTAAAATGTCTGTCTGATCAATGGGTCGGCCCCGCTGGGTGATGTTGACATGTTTTGACGGGAGATTAAAATTATGCCAGATAAATATGTACCGAAAAAAATAAATTTTGACAAAGCATTGCCGACGTAAAATATGCGTACCGATTTACACATTCCCAGAATCGTCGTGTAAAGTCTCGAATACCGGATAATCTCAGTACTTTTGTCAACTTTATTCACACACCTATCTTATTACGAAGAAAACTTTGCTGCTATTTTCGTTCATTTCCAGTCTCAATAAACACATGTGCGTTGACGCCTCAAGCATAAGCCGCATTTACGTTATATTTCGCCTGCAAACTCACGTTGCGTATCTAGATTTTCCATCTACAATAGATTTGGCATAGAATATTTGTGCAGCTGCCGCGTAGGCGGTGTAGCAGGATTCATGTAAGTAGACGGCGCATTGTCAGCGTCGCATAACAATGCCGTGATAGGAGTGAAAGTAATCCGGAATACGACATCGGGTAAAGTAGGTCAGCGAAAGGTATAAAACATATTGAGTATGATGAAACGGGGTGAGCCCGTTACATATTAATTGGGACGAAAGTACCAATTTTTGAATATTATCTGTTTTGATAATATTCAATCAACATCACTCGAAATGAGTGATGTTGTCGGGATATTATCGCTAAGGATAATATCCGTGGAGGGGTCCACTTCTCGGTTGATGTACAGTGTACATCAACCAACTCAACCACCAATCGCTGCTGGACGCGCGCAATGGATGGTGAGCAAGGGACACACATAGGAGAAGATAGTTTAACATAGTTAGAGTAAGTCAACAGATGGTTTATTAACGTAATAACTATATTAAATAAACAGTTCTACTTTTCCCTCAAGACAGAGCTTTCGGGTTCTGTTTTACCTACCGGGTCCTCGGTTGCCCTGTGTACGCTTGTCGGGCACACATCACCTTTGCGTTAAGTTCACACGAGGGGTGTGCCCCGTTGCATATGATTAATACGTGATCGGTGCTTTTACAGGTAGTCATGCATATGATTGTGGAGCAGCCTCACAAAGAGCGCTGACAGAGCGCGCAATGCTGATAAGATGCTACAGTAGCCACATGCAAGAAGTCCCAAACAATTCCAATCAATGCTGTCTTTCTTCGAAACATTGTATGTTTGACAGTTGTAATGACCGATGCGATAATCCTGTCTTCAGTGGACGTTCAATTGCACACAAGGACAGAATCCTCAGTATTTGAGTTCACTAAACGATTGGCGCAATGTACTAGTTATTGACTATTTTTTTCATTGACCCAGGTATCTCCATTCTCTTCCGTAATGACGCTCGCATCGTAAAGTTTATGATTTTTCTAGCAAAGGTGCTGACGTTTAGTAATTTCTGTAAAGGACTATGAGCTGATGAAAATGACGCAACTTGTCCCACTTCACCGCATATATTTTTCCAGTCTAATGTATCGGGTATGCATTATTTGTATTTTTTGTGTGTTGCTTAAAATTTAAATGTTTATTTGCATTTATCAATTTTACGATCCATTCAGTTTTTATTATATTGATTTGTTCATCGTCTCTCTATGAGTTATATAATAATAACAAATTCGTTCATTGTCACTGCATACAAGTATAGCTTGTGTTTCAATAGTATGTGCGGTACCATTTTAAATATTAATGCATTGTTTTCGTCTCATCTCGGGTGCAACTTTATCTTCCCACAACCTGGAAAGTTTTATTCCATTATTTACCTGTATTTAATGACTATCTGAAGTAGTAGCCAATTCCTTACAATAACCATTTAAGAAGTCGACCTAGGTATTTGTTCGGAAAGTCATTATTAAAGTCAAACGCTATGTAAAAGTGATGTGAGTCGTTGATCACACTGATGATAACTCTTTTCACTTAATTGATATCGGCTATTAAATTGATCAATTGAGTTTATTTACATAACTCTAATATGCAGATGCTATTAGACCGTATCATAACATTTGTAATATTCACAGTTGACATAATATTGTTTGTGAATTATAGCTACAATACTTTTCTGAACAGGATACATGTACTTCTATTCATTGTTTAAAAGGCCTGTATCATTTAACGAATTCTAAACCTTATCCACCTGAGAAATAGGTTGAACCTACTTTAGCTCCTTGTATTTTTTATCGTGTATATCAAGTATGCTGCTTTATCTAGTTCAATAAATTTGTCCATACTCATCTCGTTAACGTGTACAAAACGTTTCGAGGTTATATTTTTACTTCATTGGTGTTATTGCTTTCTTTTCGTCATCGTGTGTTTAATGAACCCTTTAAAAGACCTCGGAGTACATGGATATAGCGTGTTCATCACCTGATATCATCGGTAACTACAGATAACGTCGAGAAGTGCGGCCTTCTCACACAACCCACTTCTTTTCGCGATCCACGCAATATTTAACTGTATCGAATAAGCTTTTTTCTTATCAATATATGGTTTTTAATTAAGTGATCGACGGAATAATTAGTGCAACAAAATTGGTTTATGTTGAATGGGTTGACGAGCCAACAAGAGATGATGCTAAATAAATATTGTAAAACTCCTACGGTCAAATAAACGAGGCGCATACTCTTACACTGCCTTTTCACACCCTATTACCAACTTTCTTGCCTTAAGCAAACATGCGATATAACGCCATTGAAACGTCTGGCTTGCTCGAGTGTATAAATACGTCTACCTAATTATATGATAAAAATTTTCGATGCTGATGTATATATTATTTGTTTTTGTTTCGTAATTCCTTGAATCGGAATATAGATGTTGTCGAGCTGAGCTTCTTTTCTAAGATAGACACATCATAATGTATCGGTCCATTTACATCAGTCATCTCCGCAGCTTCCAC